CCCGCCCCGACAGTTGGAAGCCCCGCCCCGACAATAGGAAGCCCCGCCCCGGGAGCCGGGAGCCCCGCCCTGACAGCCGGAAGCGGAAGCGGTGCAGGCGGGGCCCGGGGTGGGCGGACAGAGAGTAGCCAGGGCGTCTGCGGCGGTTCGCGCGCTCTGTCTCCGGGCGCAGCTGGACAACGGGAAGGAGGCAAGTCGTGCCCTCCTGCGCGGCCGCGGGCTCCCCTTGCGGGTCTGGCCCGGGGACCACACCCAGCCCGCAATTAGCTGTGGTCACAGAGCAGCGTGCATTTTCTCTTGCGCTCCGCAAAGTCAGTGCGCTTACGTGAGGACCTTGGGTTCCTGGCGGGCAGGAGACGCAGCGGCAGCTCTATCCATGAACCATGCATGCGTGGATTAACGGGTGGAAGGATGCGAACGAGTGCTCAGTGGTGATCCCGCCTCCACGGACCTAACTCCAAGTGCTGCTGTGTGTCTTGACCTCAGCCGCATCTTCACCTGCCGTTTGCTTGAGGATGGGATGGGGCAGGAAGGATGAGAACCTGCCTGTGCTGGCCCTGTTGCCGAACCGAACTCGGGTTGGCCGGCGCCAGTGCAGCAAAGCCGATCCGCTGACACTGGTTGTGCAGGAGGGAAGCGCAGCGTTTATTGCAGGGCGCCAAGCAGCGAGTCCCAGCAGCTAATACGCAAAAGACCCGAACGCCCCAGCAGCTTTTAGGGAAAAGTTTTAAAAGGCAGGGTGAGGGAGGGGAGTTGTGGATGTGTGATCAGCTCATGGACATTCCCCTGCCTGGTTGCTGGTGATGTAATTGGGAGTCAACGTTATCAGCCTTCTGGTTCCGACCCGTCTGGGGTCTAGTGCTGGTGGTCAGCACGCAGTTAACTTCTTCCACCTGCTGGGGGTTTCAGTGTCTGCAGTAAAGCTCCAAGGACATGGCTCAGAATATTATCTGTAGCCTTTGAGAGGGAAGTTAATGTCCTTGACTTTGTTTAATGGCTGCGCTATTATTTTGTCTTGCTTGACGGTTTTCCTTTAGTTCTGTATTTTCTCACTTCTCTGATTAAATTTGTTGTTTGGAACTCAGGGAAGGCCTAGGAGGCTAAAGTTTTCTTCCAAGTGTAGGAGGCAGGCGGAGGACGTGGTGGGGGAGGGGTCTAACCTGGGAAGGCCCCATAGGGTCCTGCTTGGTTCCAGTCCTGGGTCTTCCCCCGCCCTGGCTGACTGAAGGCAGGGCCTCACAGTGCCTCAGTCTGCTCCCTTCGCACATCATTTCCTTCCATGCACTTGCACGTGACCGACCTGCCTGGAGGGGAACAGGGACATATGCCCGGCCCATAGCAGCTTCATTTCCTGCCCTAGAGAGCTCCCCCCACCTCCCTAAAATGCAGATCAACAGTCCTGTAGCCCCTTAGGTGTGCTTTGGAATTCAGAGTCGTTCAGCTTTCGGAACGTACTGTGTATACGCTTTGTATTCTGTAAACCCTGCCATCCTGAGCAGCACCTGGTAAACATGTTCATATTTCTGCAGCGATGTCTGTGAAAAGTCAGTTAAGGGCATTATAGAAAAACTCTAAATTGCCTCATGGCGGTGCAGGTCAGATTTTGCTGACAAATGAGTTACCAAGATCTTAAGGTGTTGGGGTCTGGATTGTACATTTAAGGGCTTTTGAATCTTATTTGGGCACAAACATTGTCATTTGTTACGTCCATTTTCATTTCTGTTCACATCATTATCGCTTGTCTTAACAGGCAAAAACGGTGACATCTCTCTGCTGGGCAGAGCCATCAGTTACTTGGTCCCAACCTGGGGAAACCTTGGGTCCCTCCAGCAGCCCCATGTGTAGCCCTCCTTCCTCCCCCGAACATCCTGGGGCTTCTCTTCTGCAGTGCACAGGAGTCCCCATTTTTCCACTTTGACTTCGCCGCTGTGTTTGCATCAGAAAAATGAACTCTGTTAGGTGGAGGCCTCCCAGCGCTTCCAATTTCTGGTCTTCTTTTGTCTGGAGTAACATCTCTGCTGTCGGTTTTCCCCTCAGACTCAGACTCGACCTTCAGGTGATTTTCTGATCCTCCCCAGTCCCTCCACCCTCCATATCCTGGGGGCGTTCAGCCCTCAGGCAGCCTTGTCATTCTTCCCGCCTCTTCTCTTTGGCCCCACGGGTCTTCGTTTTCTCTTGTTTCTCCGTTTTAAACATACCCTGATTACCAGCTTCCTTCATCCACGTGTCTGCAAGTTCCCAGCCGGGGGCCCCTGGCCCTTAGGAGTTCGGGGAACACCTTTCAACATGTTAGTCAACTTGAGACGGGGGGCCCACCTGGCCTGATTCGAAGGGCTGTGCAGACCAAAGAGTCAGGTCTCTTTGTTCTGAAAACAGACCAGCTCCGTGTGGGGACCAGGTTCACTCCTACTGATGAGGGAAAAGCGGGGAGACCCAGGCTCCACTGAGACGAGGGGTCCCTGGTGTAGGGAGGTGGGGGCGCTAGGATCCCCCTTCCTGTTCTGGTGTGTGTGAGTGTATTTCAGCTCCCTAAGAGAGAGCATGTGTTCTAGGAGTGCTTTAAAAATGTCCCTCTGGCTGCTGTGTGTGGATCCTCTTCACACCCCTTTCTCTCCCACACCTGCTTTTCTTGAGTTCCTGTTTCTTTTTTGTCATCTCTTTCTCGTTGACTGGTTGTTCCTTGGTCTGAGAATGTCAGATGTCCCCCAGGGTCACTCCTAGGGCTCTGCTCTCTTCTTAACAAATTTCTCTGTCATTCACACATGCCTCTATATTTTTCCTGCATGTGGATAAACTCAGATCTGCCTTACTTCTTGATGTGGGTTTAGGTAACAGATCCAGGGCACAAAAGTGGGGCTCCCAGTGGTCAGTGTCCTCCACACCCTGAGGGCAGTGGACCCACGTGCAGAGGGACCAGGCTGGCCAACTCCCTCTGGAGCCCACTGTCAAAAAAGGAACCGGACAGTGGGGAGGGTACAGCTCAAGTGGTAGAACACATGGCTTAGCATGCATGAGGTCCTGGGTGCAATCCCCAGGACCTCCTCTAAAAAATAAACAAACCTAATGACCTCCCCTTCCTGCCAAAAAAAAAAAAAGTAATGCAATCATAAATACATAAAATATTAAAAAAATAAGAGGAACCAGCAGTACTGAGAAAAACAACTGCCTGCCAAGCGCGCAGTGTCCCCCAGTGCCTCAGTCCATTTGAGCTGCTGTAACAGGATACCGTAGACAGAAATTTATTTCTCACGGTTGTAGAGGCTGGAAGTTCAAGATCAGGGCACTGGTAGATTTAGCACCTGGTGGGAGCCCACTGCTGGGCCACAGAGGGCCACCTCCTTGCTGTGTCCTCCCATGGAGGAAGGGTCAAGGGAGCTCTCTGCGGGGGGGGGGGTGGTCTTTTATAAGCACGCTCATGAGGGCTCTGTGTCATGACCTAATCATCTCACAAAGGTCTCTCCTCCCAATATCATTACCTTGGGGGGTTAAGATTGAAACAGAGGCATTTTTGAGGGGAGCACGATCATTCAGATCATAACAATCAGTAAGAAACAGTAAGTGTTTATTCAAAGTTTTCATCAACAGAAGTGTCAATTAGCAAGGAAATCATTTTCTTAAAAACCACGAGGATTACATCTCTCTGCTCCAGCCACGCGTGGCCTTAGAGAAATGAAATAATTGCTTTTCCTGCCCTGAAAAGAAAACCTTATTTATGCTGCATGGGAAGTAGAATCTAGTAAACAGATATTTCTCATCTTGAGAGATTTAAAAAAACCAAAACCCAGCCCTTCCTAGTTGAGTCCCTGTTACGATTTTAGCAGGGAGTAAGCAGGGCGGTGGGAGGGTGGCGGTCCTGACCCCGGTCTGGGACTCAGGCCCTCAGGTGGGGAGTGGCCAGTGGGGTCTGCTCACCAGTTAAGATTCAGACTGGGCTCTGAGAGGCAGCCGCGAGTCAGTAAGCAGGGGCTCGCAGGAAGGGCAAAGCCTTCTCCTCGAGGAGGACCAGTGCTCTGTCTTGCCACCCTGACCATTTACAGAGGCCGCAGAGACGGCACCCTTGCTGTTCACAGAGCTCTCGCTGGGAGGGCCTCTGGCCTGTCAGATTCCTGAGGCCTCAGCCTCAGAGGCCTGGAGACATGGGTGCATCAGCCAAGCTCCCTGCTGGGGAAGCGTGGGCCCACAGCAGGGAGCCAGCAGAATTCCATAAGGCCCAAAGCGGGACAGAAGATACAGGTGACAGACGTTCTGCGGTTTCTCTACAACTCTGCCATCATTTTACACCCAAAGATGTCAGCAGGTTCTGTTGGTCCCTCCCCTCTGTGAGTCTCAGATGAAGATGTCCTGAGCTGGCACTGCTAGACGTTCGACACTGAAGGCAGAAACAGCCAGCTTTCCTGGGAAGGGTGGCCACCCCTTATCTCTGCCACCCCCAACTTTACAGCGCGTGCCTTTACCCACCCCCCGGGTTTCTGGAGCTGCTGGGTCATTTTGCCCCCTGAGCACTGCTGGCCATCTCGCGCCCTGGCCAGGCCATTACTGCCCCTGAGAACAGACTCTGGGGCAAGGCTGGTCTCAGGCCTAGGGGTATTTCTT